TCAAAATGGTCCCATACAGACACAGTGCATTAGAATCCTGGCGTCAGTCATTGAGGACGTTTGCCATTTAGATGTTTGCCATTTATTTAACTGGTTACATAAATAAGATTCCATCAACTCCTTGCTGTAGTGTAAGATAATTTACACCTATGGATGACAAATTGCCAACATTTTCAAATGTACTATATGTAAGGGAGGGCAGCTCACTTTTATGTCTACTGTTTGGTAGATCTCTGAATATTCTCTGAAGTAGCACAACATCCCTAGAATTTTAGTGTGACTTGGGTTATATATTTGCTATGAATTATGAGCAAGCATCTCACCCCTGGTCACCGAGAGAATGAGACTTATGAGCTCACAGTGTTTGATTTTCATGGTAAGAAATTTTAAAATAAATAAGTAATCTCATTTTCACAGCTGGTGAAGGAGAGGAGATTAGCTATAGCCTCTCCCAGTGCTGAACACGGGAAACAGCTGGCTGCAAAGCTCATCTGCTACATTCTCATGCAAGACCAGAGTAGGCAGGATAGCTTCAAAACAGGGGACACTTTTCTAGGTGCTGTATCCCCCTGCCCTTCTCTCAAGTCACACATGCCAAGTGAAGGGCAGATTGTTGCCAACCATTAGCTGGCAAAAGGGATGGATGGATGGAGAACCACCGCTCACAATGAATGCCCAAAAAACAAGTAATGTTGTTTCAAACTCCAGCGCTTTTTCTGAGCATTAATTTTGGAATAGTTTAGGATTTAACATCTGAGGAACTCATGGACAGTTCACCCTGTGCAAACACGAGCACAGAAACTAGCACAGGAAGCTTTCAGATCTAGCAACAAAAGGCCATTTGGCTCAAGGTCAGAAAAAGTGGCAGCACTGTATCACCACTTCACTGTTCCAGACATCTTGCAAAATAGGGAATTATCTGCTGACAGTCCTAAAAACACTAATTGACTTTAACCTTACTCAACACTGTATTCCGGTTATTGCCCCAAGAAGAAGAGTCATTTTGCTGTTCTACATCGCCCTGCTCTGCTCCATGGGAGAAGGAATTTCATAGCAAAGTCCACGCAAACACAAGTATAGTTCCTGGATCAAAATACCTTGAAATAACTTTTTAAACAATGTACCAACGGGTTAGCTCTGCTGCAGTTGAAATATTTCTTGCAAAAATACTCCAGATGTTAGAGTCACCAAGCATGCCTGTGCTTTCTGAGCTCTAACTGCTCAGAAACACCCATAACATTCCATCATTCCTCCGTACACACCTCAGCTATCCCAGCCTTTCCTTGCCAAGATATGACTGTCACCTGTGGGTGGCATCTGGGCCTCAGAGCTTCCCAAGCAGCCGGCTGCTCACATAGACAGGCACAGCTGCAATGTGGAACAGACCAGATCCGAAGGGGTGTGGGTGACTCCACATGGGCACTTTTGCACTAATCAGCCAAGCTGAGACTGGAAGGGCACAATTGCAAGATCACTCCAGAAACAGCCATGAGAACACAGCGTGCTAAAAGAGGTGCAGCAAAGCACCTGACCCTCCCTTTCCTTTTTAAATCAGGAAACTTCAGGTAACCAGAACATAGCTGGCTGGCGCAACTCAGAAGGGAGTGCTCCCCAGCAGGTCCCATGTTGTACTGCCAACCTCACGTGAGTATCTCCGGTGCTGTCTGACATCTAAAGCAGTCAGATGCGACATTTGCTATCAGGATTGCTTCTCTACTATGCTTCCTATGCATGTTACTGATCTGTGTGTGCTTGCTTTTTAAAAGCTTGGCAGATGATTGAAAAATGCCTTCCATGCTTTTTAGTCTCAAAATGATAATTTCCTGCAGAATTTCCAGGTAAGCATCAACATTCAAAAAGCCCCTTGTGCTGCTGGCCAAGTGCTCTCTGCAGCCACTGGCAGGAAGATGTTGACTGTTCTGTGGTTGCTGTACCCAATTCTACTATCTTTATGCTAATTAAGACTATGAAAAACATTAAGTATGCAAAAATGGAAGCAGTGAGTACATAGCAAAGCAGACAGCTGGCTCATGCCCTGCCTGTTTTTCCCCTGCATATCTACCATCAATATCCTACACACCTTCTCCTCTGCTTGTGAAGACAGGCACTCTCTCCCCTGCGTGTTTCCATGCAGCTCACAGAATCAGTTAGGCAAGCTAATGAATAGCAACACAGCTGGCACTGTGCAGGAAGAGTGCTCTTCCCCTCCTGCCCCCGAGGCACCTATGCTTGGAGGAGAGGCACAAATGTAGCTCTCCTTCTGGGCTAGACAGGCTTGCCAACAGGCAGTTGATGAGGGCACTTTCCCTAGGGTATGAGGACGTTTTGATCCCTTTGCTTTCCCTCCAGCCTCCTCTGCCTGCCCGCAGCTGCCATTGCTGCCTGCTCAGCCACAGCCTGGCCAGCAGATGTGCAGCACGGGAGCTGGCAAGGAGGAGGGGGCAAAAACAGTTTGCTACAGGGCTGAAAACAGGTTCTGTTGGCCCCACAATTAACTACAGAGCTTCTGCCTTTTGTAGGAGCAATCAGAATCACAGTTTCGCTTGTCCTACTGGGCAGGAACAGGAAATTTCTGTACTTGTACTCCTCTGGGAAACCAAAAAGAAATACTAACCCAGAAATATCTATTGTCCACTACACTGAATGTGATGTGACCAGCACCACTGAACAAGGAGGGACTGGACTTTGACCACGCTCTTAATACCTACATAATTTAAGGTTTTGTTTGTTTGTTTGTTATGGATGCAGCACAGAATTAAACAAAAATGAGTTTTAAACCCATGTAAGCTTTCACCCTCTTTTGACTTAAAATTGAAGTATTTATCGAAAAGTACTGATTGAGAGCTTGTTCAGTCTTTCAGGAGTTTTGGTTCCCATTCCCCCAGGTGATCAGAGGTCACACTGCATCCCACCCTTTGCTTCCTACTCAGTGCAATGCATCTTTAACGCTGTGTCGCCAGGCAGAGTTTAGGAGATAGAAACTCTCTGTGAGGCTGAACCAGAATATGAATGGGACATACAACACAAACACTCTCTCCAGTTCTGCAAGGTGCCACCTAATAGATACATATTTTCTTTTTGGTCAAACGTGACAGGTCATAGGTGAAAATTGGAACGAGAAGCCAAATCTTTCCCTCATGTAAAGCCCAGTCTTTTTACCAAAAAAAGATAAAGTCAGCTTTGTTTTTTGCACTGAAAAGCAACACATGCCCAGAGATTCCTCCTTTGTAACTTTTCTTTTGTTCAGTGCAGCCATGCTGCTAGCAGTGTGAAGCAGAAGCCTATCTGAACATATGATTAGTTTGTTTTCCTCCAGATGCATGGGTACAGATTCTGATTGCTTTAATGTGGTGCCAAAGACAGTAATCTCTGACAGCAATAAGAGTCAGGGTTGATAACAGGCAAGTTTAAGCACTACCTGTGTGATAATTACATAGCTATCAAAACTGAATAAGCTGGAAGCAATCAGGAAAATATGAAGTTTGCAATAGTTTGAAAAAGCAAAGATAACCTCCTGCCATAGTCCATCATCCAGTTGAGCTCTGTGTAGTTCACAAGGGAGCTTTCTTACTAGGCACCAAACTTTTCTGAGAGTATCTATTCCCAAGCCTCATGTCTCCACAAGTGACTGACATGATCTGCAATTGTGTGTTAATTAGGAGTTTTTTCCCACTGTCTACCGCAGCGCTAGCAGAAACCCCTTCACTGCATACACCAAAGTACAGCCACTTGTGACAGAGATGTCTGTTACACCATTGTGGCCAATTCCATCTCAGGTCTTGATCCTGCAAGATACCTGCACTTGTGCTGGCCTCGAAGCCTGTGATAATCAAAGGGAACCCACAAAAAAGCTTGAAAGTTCCTACAGTGGATAAGATCACTGAGATCGAGAGGCAAGGCCCCTTCTTTTTTCACAAAGTCTGGCCTTCCGCATGGGTACAATAAACTAAACATAGAAGCTGCATATTCAACACTGAATATGCTCAGTAGATTTAAGAGTTACCATGAAGGGATGATGGACATCTTATCAACCACCTCTGTCTTAAAAAAACGTCTTCATGCTTTTGCACTGTCCTTTTTCCTTCTACACCTCATGGAAGAGAGAAGAAACATCTCATGCTTAAAATGCAGCCATATCTAGTGTGCACGGATACTGCATAAGATCTCAAGATCTCATCATTAGCGATTGGACTATCTTGTCACCACTCAGAGGCCCACACTGATCAAATGGGTTTTCATGGGCAGAATTTGCTGACAGTCAGAAATCCTTAATGGCTGCAGAATTCAAACTAAGGGAGTTATAGAAAAGGAGCCAACACTCACCATAAAGTTGCAATTCCACGGGAATGTTATGGGCATATAAATTGTCACTAATGGCACGTCACCATGGAATTTCTTAACAATTCACTGTCACATATGTATTTATTGTAGTATCAGGCCGAAACACAGTTGCCTGAACTCTCCTGTTTATACACCAAGAAAAAAAATACTGCTCCTTTCTTCCTGTGTCATTAAAACTATTCATGTCCTACAGTACAAGTTGTAGAAGTCATGGTATCTAACAGTCACATAATAAACCTGTTGAAAATTATCAGCGGAGCATGTAGGGGAAATCTAACATTTGTCCAGTTTTATTCATACAACTTGTTAGCTGCCTGAAGAAAATTTCATTTTTTCCTCCTTGTAATTAAGCAATCTCAATACTTGTAGGGTTTACTTACAAATCAGTGCATGGAAGTACAAGAATGTACTTGATAACCTCATCTAAATGCTAGAGCTAAACTAGAGCATTTTTAAAGACATAACAGGAATTCAAAAATATTTTTTCTTTCTTGCTCTTTCCTGTACAGACTATTTTGCTATATGAGTACAAAATTATGAGGAAGTGCAAAATTGTAATTGCTGGACTCCAATATCCAGTTGTATATTTTGAACATTCTAAAAATAATTTCCATAGCAAATAAAACCTGAGAAAATGGGAAAAGAAAATCCATACTCACCTGAACGTGATCTGTCCAATTCTCCTGAGTCATGGTTTTCTGAAAAGACAAATTACTTGTCAGCCACCTTAGATAAGGAAGAATGTTACATATAACAAGCTGAAAAAGTTCTTAGACACTTGCATCAACTGTGATTGAGGAATGCATACTGGAATGCTCTGGAAACCTGTGATTCTCCTATGTCACCAACCAGGGAGGGCATGGCAGAGAAACACAGCTTAGATCAAGTAATTTGGACTTGTTTAGGCTACAGCACACAAGACAAAAATTCATATGTAATCAAAGTACACAGGCAACACAGATCCTCACCTAGATCCCCCAAACACTCCTTGTTACCTGGAGCTGGGACTCATTCGCAAAAAAAAATAATAAAAATCACATTAACAAGATTCTGCAATGTGCAGCAGAATTTCTGAAGGCCTCAAAGCTTGAGTAGTGCTTTTGCAATGAAAGAGACATTGCTAAGCAAAGCTGAAATAGGCCATGCTCTGGTGGAACATGTGGATCGCTGCTGTTGCCTCCACCTCAGGAGACTTGCAATGTGTCTGCAGACTGTTCACCACAGCAGCTAGCCCAACAGAGAGCTATCCCCATAGACTCCAGTAAGGAAATGATCTCAGGGATTATCCGCAAGGCTCTAGAATATATAAAGACAAACTCTTCTCCACAGCCAAGTCATGAAAAATCCTCTGGAATCATGAGGCCTGGGAAAGGAAACTGATAAGTTAATATTCTGATTCAAATGCATTTCAGAGCCAACCTTGGGAGAAACTTGGGATGGGACCTACTCTCCACTCTGCCAAGAATGCAAGCTGCAAGAGACCGATCAGCCTTCCAGGCCAGAGTCTCACCCCCCACTTCTGGAAGAGGTAACAGTGACTACCAGTGCCACTTTTATGGAAAGGTACAGAAGCAAACAGGGAGTAAAAGAGCCTCAGAGAAAACATCTCAGAGATATACAAGCATGTAATCTAAATACTACTGAGATAAAGTAGCCATTTGACCAGGCCTCATACACAGCTGAGAATGGTAAACACAGAACACCAAAGAGCTCTCAGAAGAAGGGATGGTGTCCAGTAACAGCTGCCAAATGTACCTTAATGGAATTAACTGGCCAGCTTGGATACTTTAAACCATGCATAAACTCCAAAACAAAGGAAATGGAAGGCCAGGGAGAGCAGAACATGAGATAAAGAATTCATTTCACTCCACTAAATAAATACACCTGGAGCAATGCTTTCTTCTCTCTCACTGTGAAAGCACCCTAAAATGATGCCATCCAACATTAAAGCCTTGAGCTGAAGGACACTGAAACACTCAAGCCTCCCCAGGTCTTGTGTCAATGGATCTGGAAGGCTGGAAAGGCAGATCAGAGCCCTCACTGGTGGATCAGGAGGTCCTGAAAGCAGAACTGCCAGTGCCAGAATGGTGTCATCAGATCACTACCACTCAACCCCATCTTTGCATCCAAAGTAAACATCAAACAAATCCTCTTTTGAACAAAAGAACAGGAACTGTTGAAGGAGGTATCTCATTTCCTGAAAACTGAATCTCTGAAGACTGGATTAATAGTACCATATATAGGGACACCTGAACAACCTGCTGGGCTTCTGAAATCTTTGTTTAAAAGCTTCTTGTATCTACAGGGAGTAAGCTCTCTATGAACTGCAGATGAAATACTGCTCCATTAAAATGTTTGGCAAATACATCTTGGTAATTCAAAATTCATGAAATGAGAACATTTCTCTGTGCTGTTCAGTACCCTGTGGTCCCTCTCTTTCACAGCCCAATTAATATACCTGGATACAACACCTGCAAGCAAGCTGTTTTTTTCAGAAGAGGAAGAACAAAAACTTATTCTCAGCTGGAACTATCTGTCTTCAGGCACAGGATGACGCTGAATGCCAGACAATCAAGAAAAGCACCAACTGCCTTGTTAACAAGAAGAGAAATGTGCTTCCCACTGCAGTGTGCTCAAGAACATCCAAAGGGCATTGACTTGGCTCAGTACATTCATGAGAGGGGAGGAGAAAGCATTGTCAAGTAATTCAGCAATGAACTGCCAAGTCAAACTCCAAGCTGCCTCCTAGAAACCTGCTCCACAGAAAAAAATAACGGCATCTTCCTATTTCCACAAGCCCTCAGTGTCAGGACAAGCACTACTGTATTTGGAAAGAAGACTAAGAAATTGGACAAAAATAAAGTTAGTTCAGAGATTTGCTTAGGAGCTGAAAGTACTCCCATTTTGCTCATCAGTAACAGGGCTGTTGGCACACAAAGCGTCTGTGGCAGGTTGTGGCATAACTATCACAGCCAGGCCACCAATACCAAGTCAAAGTAGTGGCTACAAACAGCCCAGCAATGCAGAGTGCTTAAATAACTCAGATCTTAAAAATAATAATAGTGATAATAGTAATAAAAAAAAAAAATCTCTATCCGATATGCTCCCTATTTATTTGAGATGACTGAAACTGGACACATGGAGATTCCACCCTGACCTATGTATATCCCAGTGTACATGTCCCAGATAGCTGCTAAAGATGCTGAAGTGGAAAAGCATCCAGCTCTGTGCAACTGTAACACCCAGTCATTAGAATACGAATGGACACACAAATTATTCAGTCACAGAAAGTACAGATCCAGTGGTGTACCCAATATATAGAGAGCTTGTTTATGTAAATCAATATATCTCTATTATATCAGTTATTCGAAATGCAAAAATAAATAAGAAAACTCATTCACACCCATGCCACATAATAAAGAAACGTACCTCAACAAACCTCTTGTAAAAGAGATAATTCAGAGTTCTTAAGTGCCGCTGATTTATGACATTAGGGCAGAGAGCTAAAAGAAGGAAAATGACATTTAAGTATACAACATAGCTGAACTTCCGTTAAATTTTACTGTCTAGACATTACATTTTTCCTTCCCCAAGTTTGAACTCAGTAAATGGAAGGCAGGATGCCATCAAACTTAGAACAATGAGGGACAGACACACACATTGTCAGCTTATCTAAACTATAAACTGTTATTTACACTTTCAACCACGATTACCAATGCTAATCCTTGGCTACTGATATCTCTGGTTCTACCACCCCTGAATTATAAAATCCACTTGCTGGTTCAATATCCTTCAGTCAATGACTTCACACCTTTAATTACATTGCATCCTCATACACCCTCGGTCTCTAAAGGCTGCAATAATTTTGATTTAAATGGAAGTTGTGCTGTTAGTCCTTTGAAGTAGTTTTGAACATGTTACTCAGGATTTACACTTGTGCCTATGGTTTATCCAATAAAATATATATCCATGAAAGAGACTCCATATCCATACAAAAAGGGAGGTGACAATTGTTTTGCTGAGCTAGCATGCAACAGTTTTTATTTTTATTCCTGCCATCTTCATTAGATATGCCTTATTACAACTGCAGAAAACAAGATCTTTACATAGCACCTTGTTTTGAAATCCAATGCAACAAGAGATAAATGTAGAAGATAAAATAGATTAAATAGGATTAGCATATGTATCTGTCAGTTCTTGCTAAATGCTGGTATGCATGTACATGGAAAGATGTAACCAAAGCCTTCATTGGAGTTTCAGTGGCTAAAACCATCTTGCTGGTGGCCAGAAAAAGCAGGATCAACATTCAGAAACAGTAACAGAAAACAGTAAAGTGAAAATTCCCTGCAGCCTCTCTTGCATTCAGCAGACACCAGGAGAAACCAGTGCTACTGATTCAGAGGGCCTCAGAGCACAGGACTCTCCTTGTCTCATGTGGCATGCCCAGAGGACTGCAAATGGAGAGAATGAGGAAAGATCAAATGAAGAAAGATCCTTGAATATCAGACTCTGGAATCAGAATTAAAGTGCCAAGACAGAGAAACACAGATACTCTGGAATATTTTAAAAGAAACTAGTGACATTTTCTATTCTGATGGAGAATGAAACTGAATTTGAATCCATTTTCTGTATTTTATTATAAACAACAGAGAGCAACTTGAAAACATGAGGATGAACGCTAACTTGGTAAGACAGACAATGAATTGAAGAGTTCAAAGGAAGAACAGCAAAATAAAAACAAAATGGACTTCAATAAACTCAGAGAACTGGAAATAATTTATAATGTGGAAATAGTTTATAAGGGGAAAAGAAGGTAAGAAGAGCTGGCAATGATAAAACTGGAAGTGAACTAAGAAACTAACTTTGGTAAATATGAAGCTTTTATTGACCGCAGATACAATAAGAAAATACACAGAAAGTGGAACTGAATTAGACACATACAAAAGAAGAACACAAACACAAAAAGTCAGAAAACCCGAAGTTAACTATGAGATACATCTATTAAAAGCCACAAAGGCAGGAAAAAAATCATTCTGAAAATATTTTTGTAGAAAGAGGAAGACCGGGGAAAGTGCTACTTAGTCACTTGATAGAAAAGGAAAACTGGTGAATTAGGGGACGAAGAATGAAAATGATTACAATACTTGCTTTTCTTCACTTTTCATTAGAGAAGGTCCAACTAGAGGTGCTAACTGAAAAAGAGCAACAAATGGATTATATTTGAGGTTAGAGAAGGAACAATCAGGTTAGCATGTGCGCTCAGCTCAGATGCAGTATATGCTTCCAAATCATAGGCCTCATGTAACCCATCCATGATTGTGTAAGGGTCACCTTTGAGAAGATGTGAAGCACAGGGAAGAAAGTTGAAAAAAGTACAAACAACCACAGTACTATAAAAGTACTATACAACTGTAAGTACAAATAACTACTACAAAAAAGTACAAACCACTAGAGTACTATAATTTCCAAATATAGTACAACTGTATTTGGAAAAGTAAAAATATTTTCTAGACATATGCTGTAACAAACATATTATCTGTGAGCACCTAGAAAATGCGATTTGTTACAGATTTTGCACTGTCCAAAAAAACCCAAACCCGCAAACAATGTCATGTCAGTCCTTCTGATACTCTTCTGTGACTCAATAAGCTGTGTCCTAGATAAAGATGAAGCAGCAGTTGTTGCTCATCTTTATTACAGTAATGTTTTCAATACAGTCAAATGCAACATTCTGAGGGCTTTCAAGACCTCCACATTCACAGTAGATAAAGCTGGAACTTAATTTATAGCAACAGAAACTCCAGTTAACATTTTGGAGGAAAAAAAAATCTAACAGTAAGGCTAAAGAAGAACTATCATAGGTTGCGTAGGAGGTTGTAAACTTTCTATCTTGGAGGTCTTTAACAATACGTTACACATCTTATATAGAAATAACAGAAGGAAAGCTCCTTTGGCTTTGGGGCAGGAAGGGAGAAACAGGTGGCCTGCAGAATCTTTGCCAAATCTTTTCACTGCAGTTTCATGACTATCTGTGCTTTACACTTGCAGAAATCAAAGCACCTCAGAGAAGAGCAACTTACCCAAGATCACACAACTCATTAAGATTGGGCAGGAATCTGAACTCAAGTCTCCTGAGTGAAAACCAGTGTTTTGTTTGCAGAACCAAAAGATAACAACCTAAGTTTTTCAGAACAGAAACCATCGTTCTATTCAGTGTCTGTATTGTGGAGGGCTTGGGAATCATGACTGGGTTGTGGGGCACCAATGGAATACAAACAGTATAATACAGGGAAAGCAACTCTTGGCCATGTGTTAATTCTTAACCTGGCAGCTCCACCACAATAGTGCTGCACCTGAACTACAGTTCACATCTGGAACTAACTCTGAAGCAAAAATTCCATTCTGCTGCCAGCCATTAGCAGAGAATTAGTGACTATTAACAACAGAGAGGAAGTAAAAATGAAATCCATTTGTCACACAGAGAACGAAACCATTAATACACACCTATTCCACTCATGTAACAGCAGTAATGTGTCTTCTGGGGACATGGTGCAATACATTTTTAGGTGTGGTGTGTGGCTGTTGCTCCCAGGTCACAAATGACTCCTCCTGAGCTGGGATGGAGACCTGATCCTCTTGTTATACTGAGATCCTGACTTCCATTCACAGTGAGATTTCTTTACCCTGCCCTGGCAGAACAGAAGGTCCCACACAAAGCACACTTTGTTTTGGGACAAAGTAAAGCAGCCTTGGTTTAATAAAATCAGAGTACCTGAAATGTTAGAGGCTTTTGCCCTGATATTGCTAAGGACTGCTGGGGAATCTGATGAGGAGTGAACAGTGCATTAATCTCAGTATACTATGATGAGGTTATTCCCTAAGTGCAAATTACTGGAGGGTAGGGCAGGCCTCAAGAAAACCTCTTTTTGTTGTAGCCTCAAAGATAAATTGTCTCTCATAATATGCTCTGTGCCACTACGATCAAGGAAAGTGGTCCTTAGAAGAGAAAGTGAAACAGCAGAAGCTCCAGACTGGCCCCAAACTGTTGAGGTACCTGCTAGCTTTGCTGTTTGGAGCATTGGCTGACTCTGAAGGAAGAACAGTGAGCATAGCAAATAGGTTTCAATCTATGCCTAAAGGAAAAAATGCTCTAGTGTAGTCTTTACACACATCTGCATATGACAAATTCAGGCTTAGAACTACAAGGGTGGTATGACTTTTCCAATAGAAAGCTTGGAGCTGCTGGACAGCTTGTCTTGTCACAAGCAGATCATCTTCTACTACTTGTATTTCAGCAGGGAATGATGCTTTTGAGAAGGTAAGGGCCAAGAATGGACCCTTGGATGTTCACTCCTCTTCTCCTTTAACAGCTTGACTCCACAGCCACTTCAACCTCAGGAGCAGAAGGCTCCTACTTTCTAATGTCTAAGCCTAGAGGTGTTCCTTAGTCACACTGTTATACAGAAACGTGCTGGCGTGTAACTCAAGAGCTAAATAAAAAACTTTGAAGGGACATCACCATGGAATGGGGAGGGGAGGGAAGGGGGGGGCAACAACCCTTGTAAAGCATATGGAAGGGAAAGGAATAATCTTCTGCTCTTACAAAGGACAAGGTAAAAACATTTGAACTATCCTCCTTCCAAAGGCTTTCTTGTAGAGTTTTAACAGTCATTCCTCTATCTGGCACAGCATCTTTTAAAAGTGCTTAGTGCAGTGAACCCATGGGTCCCTGAGGGGCTCTCCCTGGTGACTGCTGACACCCTGCTTTCAGCTCTGGCAGACCTGGAGAAACCTGGGGACAGTTGTGCCTTACCTGAGCAAATGCAACGACTGCTGAGCAGCCCTCGTCTGCCCTCTGCTGCCCCAACACTATCAGAGTGATAACACTATCACACAAGACAGCTTTGGGGCTTCATTTAGAAAATTCACACTGAATCTAAAATAAATGTTAAACCAAGAGGAAAAACCTGGTGACCAAATGAAGAACAACATTTCTTTAGGTTTATACTAAAAACACTTTCTAAAGACTATAGTAAGAACACATTCATAGCATTCAGGAATTAAGGTGCTTAAGCAACTTATTATGCTGCTATAAAACAACTTTTAATTGTACATTCAATTACCCTCTCTTTTCCATCAACACCACTAATATCTGCTTTATTGTGCCATGAGTACTAAGGCCCAGGAAATAAAGACAGTTGTACTTCATGGTCTTGAGACTTGAGGGTCTATTCCCTCACCTCTGAGAACTGTTTTGACTAAAAGTTTTATTTGTAAATTTATGTTTATCTCACAAGGTCTCCAATGAGTATTATGTAATTAGACTGCACTAGGTACAAGGCTTGTTAAACCAGTGCATAAACTGACCCATGTGTTAGAAAAGACTATAAAACTATTTCCTCAATCATTGCCATTTCTGCCCAACCTCTCACTTCCCCAGTAAAGCTAATTATATGAAATCCATGCATAGTTTATTGGGACACCTCTGGGACTCAAAAGAAAATCTTCCACTGCTTTGTGTGTTAGCAGGAATGCTAACATTCTCTTGTCAGAAAAAGAAACAGTGGACTAATCTAAGATGATGGCTTATTTTTTCTGAGGCTCCAGACCTTTTGTTTTTATTGGGCCACTTTTTATCTGGCTCTGAAATTTAAGACTGGCTGTTCCAAGTGTTTCAAACTTAGATGTTGATCAACACACACCTAAGTTCTGCTTAGGAGTCAGTGAAACTTTCTAAGTGGACAACAGTGAGCTCTTGGGTAGCAAAATATGAAAGTAGATTTGGAACTACAATAACTAAGTCACGTATAAGCTTGCCTTCTCATACCAAGAAACCCTCTCCTCCTCCAGCCTTTCTCACCAAAAGCCACTTCCCTCTGCTGCTGCTGCTCTCAGCCTCTTACAGTGAGTAGGAGTCATGAGAGAAAAGGAGACAGAAAGCAGCAGAAGACTGCGGCATCAAGCAAGCCTGCAACCAGGTTAGGTAACAAGAAGTGTGAGTTTCACCCTGCTGCTATAATTTGGTGGAACTGCTCAGAACAAGAACAATTGGTTTTTTAAATCTGTACATTTTACCTAGTCTGCTTCCTTTTTGAACTCTCTTTCATCACTGTTAGATTTACTTCCACTAAAGAAAAGAGAGGAAAAAGGAGGGGAGAAGGGAAAACTGCCACCATTTTCCAATTCAGTTCAACACAAACCAGCACTAAGGCAGAAATTCCTCTGCAGGGATTAAAAGCTTTCAAAGCATTTCAGAGGAGACTGAGGCCAACCTTTTAGTAAAGTGCTGCTTTGAATTACATGTGATATTAGGTAAAAAAATGAACATCTACTTTCATATATGTCTATGAGTGAGAATCAGCCAACCTTGGCTTTAGCTGGCCCAGCTCTGGCATGTTTTCTAAATTGGTAGCACACATCCCATTTCCCGTGAATAGACGGGTCAGTCTTCTCTAGCACCTGACTTATCTTACATTGTAGGCATTGAATTTGGCATAGGATAAAACACCCTCTGGAAGCGTTGCGAGGAATAGGAGAGACTCTTGTTCTGTGTATCTCAAGGGAGCTCCTCACCCATGAACCTACTGTGGAGGTCAAGTGACAGTTTGGCATTATTACTGGCAGCAACTATATCTGAGACATCACCACCAAGCTAAGACACGCTGGTACATACTCTTCTTTCTCATTCGGCTAGATTTTTTGTAAAACTTTCTCAGGATTTTGCATGTGAACAAAATTTCACATGCATTTCATGTTTACAGGTAACACCATACCCTTGGTGAATCTTTCAAAAAGAAAGGGGAAAAACCCGATGTTTTTACAGATCATAAAGGACAATACAGCCTACTGAATGACCAGTCTTACAAAGGAGAAAAAATTACTGAAGACTAGTAAACTCCAGGGAAAGATTTAGATGTTAAATAAATTATCCCCTTGTGCCTCAGATTTCACACCAATGTGCTAAGTTTAATTTTATTTACTTATCCTCCAATGGAGGTCTGCAAGGATTTTCTTATTAACTTTTGAACAGCAGGTTGAAGATGTGAAGATTAATATGCAATATAGTGTTGCTACCAGGCATAATAAGCCCATAATTTGTGGTTAGAAAACACTTTTCAGTCAAAGAAAAGAGAATTGTGTATCTCCTGCTGATGATGGAAAGCTTTGTAGGGTGAAACCTTATGGCGCATTTAAAGGTTTCCAAAATAAGGTCCCAAAGAGAACTGAAAAGGTCAAGTCTCCACTAACAACAAAAGAAAAACAAAGATTTTGTTAGACAACTGATAGTGAAGCAATGATGTGAAATGTGTTACTTCTCTCAGAAGACTGGAAGAGTCTTAAAAATCCTTGCTGCCAACCCTATTTTACAGAAAGAATACAAAGGGCTGTAAGGCTCCTGCTTCCCGAGGGTTATCACTTCAGTACTGACAGACTCGCAACTCAAGAAAACAGATCTGCAGATGAGTAATGACTTGCTTCTTATGTGAGCGGAATGGAGTCATAACTCAAAGCTGACCATCATGTGTTTACGTAGAGCCATTCTGAGGTCAAGATTTATTTCACATCATGGAAGAAGCAGTCTATTAGTCACAAGCACTTCATTCTATGACAGCACAAAGTGGTAATTCCCATAACTTACCAACTTTGTTTTTGAATACCATTAATTAAACTCTGAAACTCCCCATGATAAATTACAGCAGAGATTCCTTACTGAACATGGAAGAAGATAAATTGACTTCGTCTGTTTTTTATTGGTGAGGTAACTCCAGAAGATGTTGCAATATCACATACCTGGATCTACATTAAATCGGTCTAGGAGCCTGAAGACCAGCTTGCTTAGCATTTTGCGGTTCAATTTGTCTGGTTTGTACCTGGACAGACCTTGATATTGTCTGTAAGCAAACAAAGTAAGAAAAAAAAGCACAAACACAACACCTAAGGTTTTGCAAATGGTAGATATTTAACAGCAGATATATCAGGGTTAGGTAGGTATTGGTAAGAATGGTAAGAAAAGTCTCCCATCTTTCCTGAGATTAAAAAAAAAAAAAAAAAAAAAAAAGCCAACAATACAACCACACACATTTCCCAGTCAAAGACTGTAGCAAGACCAGAGACTTATTTTGAAGAAAGAGAAAGCCAGGAATTCCTTCATCTTCTTTCAGAACTAAGACTGCAACCATTGCATCTATATTGTGACTTTTACTGTACTGTTGACTTTGTGACTGACAGGAGCTATTCTACTGAGAGGTGATTTATAAATTAAAACACACACAACTATTTCACGAGAACAAGAAGGTTAACCACTTGCTTCTCTTGTTTTTCTGCCACTTCATCACAGTATTATCTTCCTGCCAAACCTGTACAACCGATACTGAAACTCAGCCTTGTCTGTAGCAAAGCACGAGAGTCTGATTAGTACAACCTCCTGGAGAGAGCTTTGATATTGTTATATTGCTAAGATCTACTACTTAGTTTTCATTTTGTACTCCTCTCTCCTGTCAGGAGCTAAGCATCTGTCAATAGGAAGGATACCTCTGTCTTACTGGCTAGTGCATTTGAAAAGACTCCGGCACAGACGCCAGAAATTTCCCCATTGTCAGCTGAAAAATAAATATATTGCACTCCATTATGCTTAGAAAATGATCTTAGATAGACAACCAAAGAACATAGTGTCCTCTGGCAGCCAGTTAGCCCCAGCTGTTTAAAAATTCAACAGACGTTTCTACCTTGCAATGTCTCTGATATTAAAACCAGGTTCACACCAGGTGTCCAGGATCTGTACGAGCTTGCACTGGAGCTCAGGATACTCTCCGACATAATCTTCCATCAAGTTAATTTTATCTTGAAACAGTAGTGGCATACACATCTAGGAAAAGAAATAACATTTAGTGCAAATGACACAGTTATGCCATGCCTTTGATCACCATGTTCAGCAGTCTGACTGCTGCAGCAAGCAGGAGACTTGGAAGGGTTCCACAGCACTGCAGCTCAGGTGCAGGAAATGGGACTGAAACCTGGCAGAGGGCTGTCTCATCCCCTACTGCTCAGACATGGTGAGCAAGTCACAAAACCCTTGCTTAATAAACTAGTGTTGTCTAAAAGATGGATATGGCATTTCCAACATAAAACATTAGCTGAAGTGGCAAAGCCTGAAAGTAGCAAAACCAACAAAATTTATCATAATGATAACCATTTGTCAAGAACACGGGTAGATTTTTTGATTGCAGTAGTTGTAGCTAGAAAAATAGTCTAATAAGCTTTAATGTGGTCTAACAAAATATAGTTTGTCACTTCTCCAGATGTGAAGTCACTTTAGCAATGCAGCAGTGACTTCTTGCAAACAAGATAAAGCCTCAAGTGAAACATATCATTTGGAGGTCCTTCATGGATGTGCTGCATAACAAAAGGTGGATCTGAAGACAGAGAGGCCTGCAGAGGAAATGACTCACCTTCTCCACATCTTGATCTGGCTGTAATTTTAGCTTAATACTCAGTATGGCTGCCTAGAGAGAAAAAAAAAAAAAAAGTGTATTTAGGAAAAGAAAACACAGTGGATAAACAGGTGTTATTCCAAAGTTAAGTATATATGCTACTATAGAAAGTTTTAATGTGATAATTATTTCTGTTATTTTTTCAAGTATAAACATTGACCACATACAGTCCACTTAGAAATGTACAAGAACAGTCCTGGCAGCGTTGCATATTGTGAGCAGCAGTAGCATACCCTGGTATAAAAACTAAAGATCAGGTTGTCTGGCAGAAAGAGAGAGAGAAAGTAAAGTGCTTGGACAAACTTAGCTATAAAGGATATCTTCTAGTGATATAATTGTAAAAAATCCTGACCCATTATACCTTTCTGAATTAATTGAATATACATCTTGCAGTGCCTTTTAACTTTTGTAAAATAGTTTTATTTTGTGAAAACTACTCATATTTGAAAGAATCTCAAATCAAGAGGTCTTAGCTTGTATAATTTCTGCCTAGCTCCAGATCCCTGAATGTTCATCACTTGGAGCACTGAGTTCAGCTCTGGGGCCCCCAGCACAAGAAGGACATGGAAGTATTAGAACTAGTCTGGAAGAGACCACGAGGATGATCAAGGGGCTGGAGCACCTCTCTTATGGAGACAGGCTGAGGGAGTTGGGGTTGTTCAGCCTGCAGAAGGCTTCAGGCTGACCTTACAGGAGCCTGCCAGTGCCTAAAGGGGGTTACAGGAAAGCTTGGGAGGGACTCTTTGTCAGGGAGTGCAGTGACTAGACAGGGGGAATGGCTTTAAATTAAAAGAGGGTAGGTTTAGATTAGATATGAGGAAGAAATTCTTTACCATGAGGGCGGTGAGGCCCTGGCCTAGGCTGCCCAGAGAAGCTGTGGGTGCCCCATCCCTGGCAGTGCCCAAGGCCAAGCTGGATGGGGCCGGGGGCAGCCTGGGCTGGGGACAGGGGACCGTGCCCATGGCAAGGGTTGGAATTGAATGGGCTTCAAAGTCCTTTCCAACTCAAACCATTCTGTGATTCTATGATCACAAACAGAAAGACAGTAAGAACTATATTTAGTCCATTTGTGGTATCTACAAATCTTTGATAACAAAGACCTGCCACATTCACAACTTAACCCCCAAACATTATCTTTTGCAGATGAGGAAACAAAGCTGTAGTGAACTGCAGTAAGTCAGGCTGTGAGAAGAACTGGCTCAGCCACTGTCTATCCTGTCTCAGCTTGGTGACTACAGAAATATGAAATTATAGACAATTATTTGCCTCAGAACTGGAAGAGAGTCAATATCATGCCTGTCTTCAAAAAGGGCAAGAAGGAGGTCTCAGGCAACTACAGGCCAATCATCCTCATCTCCATCTTTGGAAAGGTGATGGAACAGTTCATCCTGGAGGTCATCTCCCAAGCATGTGGAGGATAAGAAGGTAATCAGGAATAGTCAGCATGGATTCACCAAGGGGAAGTCATGTTTGACTAATCTGCTATTCTTCTGTGATCAGATAACTGGCTGGGTAGACGAGAGGAGAGTGGTGGATGTGGTCTACCTTGACTTCAGCAAGGTTTTTGACACTGTTTCCCATAACATCCTCATAAACAAGCTCAGGAAGTGTGGCCTAGATGAGTGGACAGTGAGGTGGATTGGCAATTGGCTGGACAACAGAGAGAGTTGTGCTTAGTGGTGCAGAATCTAGTTAGAGGCCTATCGCTAAAGGTGTCCCCCAGGGGTCAGTACTGGGTCCAGTCTTGTTCAGTTTATTCATCAATGACCTGGATGAAGGAACAGAGTGCACCCTCAGCAAGTTTGCTGACAACTCAAAGCTCAGAGGAGTGGCTGATACCCCAGAGGGCTATGCTGTCTTTCAGAGGGACCTCGACAGGCTGGAGGGTTGGGACAAGAGGAACCTTATGAAGTTCAACAAAGGCAAATGCAGGGTCCTGCACCTAGGGAGGAATAACCTCAAGTACCAGTACAGGTTGGGGGCTGACCTGCTGGAAAGCCCTCTGAGGGGTAGGACCTGGGAGTTCTGCTGGGCAGCAGGTTAACCGTGAGCCAGCAATGTGCCCTTGTGTCCAAGAAGGACAATGGTATCCCACGGTGCATTCAGAAATAGTGCCAGCAGGTCAAGTAGGTGATCCTGCCCCTCTACTCAGCCCTGGTGAGGCCACACCTGGAGTACTGTGTCCTGTTCTGGGCTCCCCAGTACCAGAGGGACATGGACCTATTGGAGCGAGTGCAGAGGAGGGCTATAGAGACAATTAGAGGACTGGAGCACCTGTTGCATAAGGACAGGCTGAGAGAGCTGGGCCTGTTTAGCCTGGAGAAGAGGAGACTGAGGGGAGACCTCAATAGTGTATATAAATTTCTGAGGGGAGGGTGTTGAGAGGATGGAGCTGGTCTCTCATCAGTTGTGCCCAGCAACAGGATGAGAGGCAACAGGCAAAAACTGAAGCACAAGAGGTTGTGGCTCAATATGAGAGGCACTTCTTTACTGGGAGGGTGACAGAGCACTGGGACAGGTTGCCCAGAGAGGTTGAGGAGTCTCCTTCTCTGGAGATATTCAAACCCCACCTGGATGCCATCCTGTGCAAGGTGCTGTAGGTGATCCTGCTTGGCAGGGGGATTGGACTAGATGATCTTGAGAGGTCCCTTCCAACCTCAGCCATTCTGTGATTCTGTGAAATATATTAATATCTAACTGTGCATTGCCTGGGAGGCACATAAACTAATTAGGATTTTAAGCTGTTAGCAGTGTTTAATTTCTGTATGTGTGAGAACACTTGGATCTCAAATAAAAAATAAGCATGCAATGACTTTCTTTAGTATAGTGCATTGTTCCAGTAAATGATGTAGTAAGAGCAAGGAGCCTTCTAACACATTTACATATTAGTACTAACATAATTGTTAACTATGTAACAAGGAGGCTTTAAACAAGTGTCCTTACGTGACCTAGCAAAAAGTTAGGCTGTGTTTTCCAAGATGGTTGAAATTTAAGTTTTATAGTGCTGCACCTCTGACCCTACTGCAGCATGCTTGTAACGCTAAGCAACAGCCAAAGAAACAGAATATTTCATCAACATAGATCACAAATGCCTGTTTATTCAGATGAGGATAAAAACAATAGGTTAAGACTTACAGGAAAATTATTCTATTCAACAGGTTTGTCTGATATTGTTATTCATTTTGCTTTGAGAGAAAGACATCGTGAGTATGATGGTTGTGGTTTTTTAATTGTTTTTCTTTGAACAGTTACATGTTAGAATATGTAAACAAAGATAATAAAGTAAAAAATGCCTCCCTGCCACCCTGCTTCCCCCTGCTTCCCCCCCACCCCCCAGATACAAACTTCACTGTTAACCCTCACTGCATGAAACCTTTACAGAAAAATTTAACAAGAAAAATAATCTAAGAGGGGGTAGGAGGCAGCAGAAACTGTGGATAGCATTATCTTATTAAAAATGTATGCGTTTTACATCCACTGCATCAAAGACTGTATAGAAAATCAAATAACCAACAGACATCACCTAAGTTCATTCTGACTGTCCAGCAGAATAACGATGCCCAGTTATCAGAGGGAATACTTTTCTTTTCTTTTTTTTTTTTTTTTTTTTTTTTACAAAACAAACACTGACTGTCCATGCTCGATCAAGAAGAGAAATTATGAGAAGAACTTTAAGTGACAAAACCAGGAACTAACATTAATATAAAGACTGTGTGATACAAATCAGATTTGAATAGAAAGTCACATAATAAAGTCTCAGCCCAGCTAATTCTGCAACAAATTTAATCTCTCACTCCAGACCTGATAACTAAGTCCACCAGTTTAAGGCCAAATGTGCTATTCTGCTCCACGAGCAACCAGTACCTTTTCTCTCAAATTATCAGATTAACATCATAAAGTGCAAGCAGAGAAATTATTCTCAAGTGGTACACAAGCTGAATGTTGCTACTTCTGTTTTGGACTTGAATAAGGGTTTTGTGTCTCCAAAACTTCTACGGCTGATTTTTTTTCCCCTCTTCCCAGCTATCTCAGTTGGCCAAATAATAAAAAAAAAAAACAACTCTCAAAACCTTGTTTCACCATTTGATCTCATTTGTGTATTTTATTAAACAAATAATCTGTTAGTTTTAGCATGCAAGCCCACAGTTGTTTCCCTAATAGCTTTTTAATGTTCACAGGCATGTTCAGATTAACCTAATTGCAGAACTGTTATCTAAATGGCATAGTTTTGTCTCTATCTCTATTAACAGTATGGGTGACCTAATCAGATGAACACACACTGTGTTAGGCTAGGTTTACCTCTTTTGCTGGATGTGTATACTGCACTGCACAGGGTGGAGGGCAATGTTCATCCATGTAGCCAGCGTGTGGAGAAACGGCACCTTCCAAACCCCACTGTGGCAGACTGACCTCACACCACTGCTGCTAAGGGCCAGAGGAACACTGTCCTGCCACCAACACTCACCCACTTCAAGCAATTCATATGAGCTGGTTTTTAACACCATTTTAACATCATCCACTTACAGCAGGTGGTGGAACAGTCAGACAAACTGCTGCTGGTGGACGGTGGCAATAGCCTCCTGCAGCGGAAGTGCCATCAGTAGCGGTGCAGCAGCCTTTCCCATGCACAAAGCGAAGCGTGGAAGGTGATGCCTGACCTGGACCTTAGGAACAAACAACCAGTCCGGATTGCAGGGTGCAGCTACATGGGCTGGCTGGCTGAATAGTGAGGACAACTTAGATAAAATCAGCATGTTTACAATAGGAATAATAAGAGAAGAGATATGAGTAACTGTAATAAAGATGAAAGTGCTTGGCAGCTGTGTCTGTGGTCTCAACTTTAGGCTATTTTAAGATTCTGTTTTGTTATTATCATGTTTTGAATTGTTTCACTCCACAAACAAGTTTTGTGTAAAACGACCCTATTTTTAACAGTCTGTTTATAGATGATAAAATCTCCAGAAAAGCAACACCTCATTCATAGACTCATTTTGTAGTTAGAAAACAAACAC